TGAATGAAGTAGGTGCTGTACAATGGGTACAGGATAGGCGCTTTGTTGTAGCACCTTATTTATTGTGCACTTGTAGTCTGCGCAGATGCACACAGACCTGTCAGATTTGAGAGGTAACACTATGGGGGTCTCCCAGCCTGCGTGATCAACTGGTTCTAGGATTCCCTGGCTCACGAGCTTGTCAATTTCCTTGTCAATTTTGGGGCAGAGAGCAAAAGGTACTCTCCTGGGTTTTAGCCTAATTGGGGCTATGCTGGGGTCCAAACTAAAGGATTGGAGTCCCCACATACTTACCCAGACCATTGCTGAAAACATCCTCGAACTTCTTAAAGATGGCCTCAGCGCCATTGTCTTTCAAGGCATTGATGCCGGTCACTTCTAGGCCCAGGGCTTGGAACTAATCTAGCCCCAGGAGGCTCTGCAAGTTGCCACTGATCACTGTTACTGGGAGTTTCCTGCTGAATTGCTTGAAGTTTACCTGGAGGTGCCTTGGCCCACGAAGGGGACCTGGTTTCCCTGGTAATCACATAGGCGGATGTCAGGGTGCATAGATGCTGCTTCTGTAGGCTAGGGATAGCCTGCTTAAGGGTAGACCAAGGCATGATGGTCAGTGATGACCTGGTGTCAATCTCCATCTCACATGGAGAGTCCTCGATGAGGACTGTGATGTTCAGCTTTTTTGGCCGCCTGGTATGGACTTGGCCGATTGATGTATGGTGGGTGACTCTATTGTCGCCCTCTGAGCACTGTGGTGGCTTCTGCCAGGCCCCTGGATTGGGCCTCTGTTGGCGGCTTGGTGCACTTCTAGGCTGCCAGGTGGTGACAGGGAATTCGCTCCGGCACACCTTGATGATGTGCCCCTTTCACTCGCACCGCTGGCAGGTTGCGTCACAGAAATGGCAAGCAGATCTGGCATGGTCTCCTCTGCAGCCAGTGCAAGGCAGGAGACATGATTTGAAATTGCACACTGGCTGGGCACGGCTACTGCACATGTGGCAGCTGTCATTTTCCTCACCTTCTGAGCTCTTGGGCTCTGCAGCCTCGCGATGTATGCATGTACTTTTTCGCACTTCTTGTGGTACACTTTGGCGCTGCAGAGTCTCAGTAGATTTGGCGGCTGATTCGGATGCCCTGGCTTCGTCCAAGGCAATCTGCAGAGTGAGGTTAGATTTTGCGAGTAACCTCCTCTGCAGGGTAATGTCCCGCACGCTGAAAATTATGTGGTCCAAAATCAGCTTGTCCAGGTCTTGGAATTCACAGTACGCTGCAACCATGTGAAGTGCCGCCATGTACTCGTTAATTGACTCGCTCTCCTTCTGGTTTCTGATGTTAAACTCATGCCGGTGAACGTGCTTAGACGGCTTGGGCGGTGTCGGCTCAGAAATGTTTTTCGCCGTCTCGAACACTTCCCGGCCACAGTATCCGAAGAACATGTTCTTCTTGCGGCCTTCGGGAATGCCCATGAGGTCGTTTGCCTCGAAGAAGCAGTCAAATCGTAGCATGTACGATTCCCAGTGCTCGGTGACTGGGTCATACGGAATTGTTGGGCCATTTTCTGTACAGAGGGCGATTTGAGTTTGCCACTCAAAAATGGCTGCTTGATGCCGCGCTGAGCTCCAGGCTGGATGTACTTGCTGGATTGCTATGCTCTTTTTGGTTCACCTAGTTGCCTTCCAATCCCACCTTCTTCGCCAGTGTTAGATTGGATAATGGATAGGCACACACAGGCTTAATGGTAACAACAGCTTTTTATTGAATACAACAAGTGAGAAC